AAACATAACCCCACCTGTGAGTAACACACACTAACATCAGAGACAGACACACACACACACACACACACGCACACACACACACATGATCAACGTGATGAGAATAAACCCAGAATTTACTGTATAACAGGGAATGTCACAGCAAAGTTTGGCTTCTTAATTTTAAGTAGGGCTGTACAACGAATCTTAATAATTACGTTCTAGGAATTCATTTGATTACCACTACTTTTGCTGATAAGTTTTTGTATTAAATCACAACCACATAAACACAGAATCCAGAAAAATGAAAGCAGACAACAGAGAATTTGGAAAGATTTAAGGGGAAAAATAGACTTCATAGGACCGTATTGTATAAAAATATGAATTATGTAATAAATTGTAAATGTAATATATATTAAAGTATATATAATGAATTACAGCATATCATAAATGATCATCAATAATAATAAATTAATAAAAGTTAATGTTTTATGAATTCAATTAATTAGACATACTTTTTGATTTGTAAAAAAACTGATTTAATTTAATAAATGATTTTATAAATTGTGAGTGTAATCAACATTTAATTATTATTAGAATTGATTAGACATGCATTTTTAACATGTTTTGAAATGACCCTATTGTTGATAACATTTTAATACATTTAATATATTTTAATTATTTTATAAATCATAATTAATAATACATTGTTAGATGTGAAAAAAATGTTAAAGAAACCAGAAAGGAATATTGTTAAATTATTTCATAATTGTAAATGTAATAAATTATAATGAAATTATTTCATAAATTATAATTAATAATAATTACTATTACATTTTAATTGTTTTAAATGTAATAAATAAGTTGATTAGACATGTTTTCTGATTATTAAAATAAAATAAAATAAAAAATCATAGGACATTATTGTCCTGTGATGGTCCAGTTGTTAAAGTTTTATGAATTTAGTTGATTAGACATTTTGATTATTAAAATTAAGCCATTAAAACAGAATCCAGAAAACACCAATCATGGAATTTGTGAAAAAAAATCAAATGTAATTTAGTAAAAAAAAAAAAAAAAACTACATCAGATTTCATACTTCAGTGGGTTGATGAAGTATAAATGCCTCTCGCCATCCCCCCGCAGTGAGCTCGACCTCAGATTGGTCGCTGAAGCTGGACGAGCTGGTGTCATTGGCCGAGCAGAAGCTGAAGGAGTGGAGGGCGGAGCTTCTGCTGAGAGTGAAGGCGGAGCTTCAGTCACAGACAGATGCGCAGAAGAACGTAGATCTGTGGACGCGGCGGTGGGAACTTTACTGTCGCATGAGGGACAGATTTCACACGACCGGTACGAACACACACACACACACACACACACACACACACACACACACACACACACACACACACACACACACACACACTCACACACACACACACACACAGATATCATGTGACTCATCACACCGGTCTCTCTCTCTCTTAGCTCCACCCGGGCCGCCCGCCGGCGCCGTCCTGCTGGTGATAGGCGACAGCTGTCTGTGTGTGCGAGTCACTGAACCCGCCGGTCAGACGCACAGCCTCATCACCCGATACAGAGGTGAGACGCCTTCATGCGACCGCCATCATGTGACTGATGGTGTCAGCACTTACCCATGTGTGTGTGTGTGTGTGTGTGTGTGTAGTTGAGTGGAGCTCTTCATCGTGTCTTCATCCTCTGTGTGGCACCGGATTCATCACAGACACCAGAAACCCAGAGTTCAGCATCACGGGACTCCAGACTGTAAGACACAAACAAACTCATCAATATATAATATATATAGATGTGATATTTCTGACTCGTGTGTGTGTGTGTGTGTGTGTGTAGGGTGTGCAGTATTACGTGCGGGTCAGTGCGTATAATGTCAGAGGTTGGGGTTCGTTTGTGAGCAGCAGCCCACCGTGTGTCGCCCCGTCCAGTGAGTAACGAGAACCACAGTAATATCGCTCATTAAAGCAATGTTCAGGGTTATTTTCAGGCTTTTCAAGGAATATTGTTAGGGATTACTATAATTATCTGAAACTAAAACTAGAACCATTGCTTGAAATTAAATAAATATCAACTGAAAGAAAATAAATTACTTAAATTTAAGCTTGTTTTTTTCCCAAATAGTTTTTTTATTAAGTTTAACTTAATGTTTTAAAATAACTGAAACTGAAAACTGAAACTATAAAAAAAACACAATAAAAATGACAAAAACACAAGAAAGTTACAAATATTGTAACTAAATTTAAAAAAGAAAACGGAAAATATGAAATAAAACACTAATATGAAATATGAGATTAAGAAAAACTAATTCAAAATATGAATAAAAACTATAATGGTATCCTTATGTGATTATTATAAGAATAATTATATAATAAATTATTTTTTCTTAGATTTTTTTTTTTTTTGGCATTTTTGCCTTAATTATGACAGGACAGATCAAAGCTGACAGGAAGTGAAGTGGGAGAGAGAGGGGGGTGGGATCGGGAAAGGTCCTCGAGTTGGGATTCGAACTCGGGACGCCTGTAGCACAAGAGCACTCTATGTCTGTGCGCTTCCCACAAGGCTATTTTATGAAATCAATTGATTAGATGTGCTTTTTTATTATTAAAGTTTTAAACCATTCAATTGGAAATACAGACTATGGAAGAAAAAAATAAAATAAAATTAGTGAAAAAATAAAACCTTTTTATATCAGATATTAACATTTTAATAAAGTACTCAATTGTTAAGCTTTTATGAATTCAATTAATTTGACATTATTTATTAGTTTATTTTTTATAAATCAGCACAGATAATCACATTATGGGTAAGTGTGCAGCAGTGTGAATAAATATTTAATAATAATAATAATAATAATAAAGTATAATCATCAGTTTATTACAAAAGGTTTAAAATAAATGCTGTTCTTTTGAACTTTCTATTCATCTGCGAATCCTGACAAATAAAATGTATCACAGTTTCCACAAAAATATTGGGCAGCACAACTGTTTTCAACATTGATAATAACCAGAAATGTTTCTTGAGCAGCAAATCAGTATATTAGAATGATTTCTGAAGGATCATGTGACACTGAATACTGGAGTAATGATGCTGAAAAGTCAGCTTTGATCACAGGAATAAAACAGTTATTTTGAATTGTAATAATATTTCACACTATATTATGTGTGTGTGTTTAGGCTGGAGCTCATGCTGCGGTGTGACGGTGAGACGCAGGAATCCGGCCGCAGCCGTCAGGAGAATCTCACAGCAGATCAGAGAGCCGGTGCTCAGCGGTACACACACACACACACACACATGCACACACATGCACACACATACATGCACGCACACACTCTTGCACACACATGCGCACACACAGACTCGCACGCGCACACACACACACATACATGCACGCATACAGACTCGCACGCGCGCACACACACACATACATACATGCACGCACACACACACACACACACACACACACACACACACATACATACATACACGCCATGCACGCACGCGCACACATGCACGCACACACATGTGCACTCGCACGCACGCACTTACATCCACGCACACACACTCGCACACACATACATGCACGCGCACACACACACATACATACATGCACTCACACACACTCACACGCGCACATACACACACACACACACACATACATACATGCACGCACACGCACACACACTCGCACGCGCACACGCACACACACACACACACATACATACATGCACTCAAACACACACACACACACACGCACACACTCACACACACACTCACACAAAACACTAAAACACCCCTCATGATGGACAAACGTGTGTGTTTCAGAAAGCAGGAGCTCTGTGAAGAGAGTGTCTGTGTCTCGCGGCCTAAAGCAGCTCTTTCACTCCAGCAGGTTCGTTCGTCTCTTACAGAGGTGAGAAACATCAGACTATCAAACTTCACATCTACACAAATCAGGAATGAAATATCACTCAGTTCTTCACTGTAAAATCACTTCAGATCAGCGCTTCTCAACCAGACCACTCAAAATTATTTTTAAATCAGTTAAAAATCAAGATATTCCTTCAGTTTTTATCCTTGAAGAACCAGGATTCTTACAGTATTGAGAAAGACTGGAAAATATGAAAGGAAGCCTCATTTGTGTGATTTCTAGTGCATTAGTATACTTATTAATAATTTTTTATTTGTTTTGTTTGTTTTATATTTGACTATTTTTAATGTTTAAATTTTACTTAATTTTGTGTTTGTATAGTTTTTATTACTATTTAGAATTTGGTTTTATTTTCCCCTTTTTTGTTTTAATTTTAGTTAACGTATTTGTATTTTTGTTGTGTTTTTATAATTTTTATAAGTTTTTTAAATGTCTATTTAGTTTGTATTAATATTTTGAACTTGTGTTTTTTCCCCTTTTCATATTAATTTTAAACGTTCAGTATTTTTGTGATTTTGTATTTTGTATTAGTTTTTTAAGGTCTATATAGCTTTTATGACTATTTAATTAGTTTTAGATTTTTTAAATTAAAAATATATTTTTAATTTGAATTTGAGTTTTTTGCTTCCCCCCTTTACATTTTAATTTTAGTTAGTGTTTTTTGTCATTTTTACTATTTTTTTATTGCCCATATAGATTCTCATTTTTTCAGATTTTCAATTTAGTTTTAGTTATTTTAGTACTTAAACTAGTTTTAGTTAATAATAATAACCCTGATATATAGCTAGTTTTATATGTATTTTTTATTTTTATATACTGCTCATCATTTATTGGTTAAAACGAGCAGAAACCCTAAAGAACATTCAGCTATTGAAGTTTTTAATTATAATTAGTATTATTCATTTTTTTTATTTACAGAAAGGAAGTTTTGAAACAAAAATGTGTGAGATTTTGTGTTTTCATGGCTGCAGTAGATGCACTATGAATATTATGTTATATATGTGTGTGTGTTGCAGAGGCGTGTACCTGGCGAGTGTCTTCTATCAGAAGGACTGTGTTCTGGTGACGGCTGACGATCAGCTCCCTCTGGTGGAGATCCAGAGCTGCTCCACGTCCGTCACGCAGGACTTCCTGTGGTTCTGTAAGGTCAGGAGTCGATCACACAGCAGTGTTTCTCCTGTCTTCCTCCTCTGTGTCTCCTCACGTGTCTCTCTCTCTCTGTGTGTCTCAGCTGTCGTGTGCGTGGACGCAGGTGCCGCGGCTGCTGCAGGTCCTGTCGTCTTCATCGCTCTCCTCGTCTTCATCGCTGCTGCAGAACAGACTCAGTTTCCTGCGGGCCGTCGCGCAGCTGCAGGTACCAGAGGATCCAGAGACACTCACCCCAAAACAGCCTCATTAATATACTTGTATAGGTTCTATTAGTATTCTCAATGGTTTAATTTTTGTATTTAATTTTAGTTTTAGTATTTTGTTATTTTTATTAGTTTTAAGTTTTTTTATAATATTTTAAAATACTTTTTATTTTTATATTTTGATTCTTTTTTTTTTTTTTTTTTTTTACGAATGTATTTGTATTACGTCATAAATCAACTGATAGTAATTTTGTTGTTTTTATTAGTTTTAAAGAAAAAAATTTATAGTTTTTTTATATTTTGAATTAATTATTACTAATTATTAATTAATTTTAATTTTAGTAATTGTTGAACTTTTTTTGTATTTTTTAAATGTCTATACTTTATACTATACGTTATACTATATACTGTATACTATATACTAGAATATTTTGAAGTAGTTGTTTTTATTTTTCACTTTTTAGTATGTTTTTCTTATTTTTATTAGTTTCATTTTTGAAAACTGTCTATATAGTTTTCATTAATATTTTGAATGAGATTTTTTTATTTAATTTTCATTTAATTTAAAATTTAGAACTTTTGTGGTCTTATTTTATCCGTTTTAATTTTTCATGTTTATTTTTGTCGTTTTTATTAATATTTTAAATGAACTTTTATTTATACACTTTGTTTTATTTTTTTCACTAGTTATTTATTTGTCTATTAGGTTTTTATTAATATTGTAAATTAGTTTTTATTTTGATATTTTTCTATTTTATTTTAGTTAGTTTTAATAGTTTTGTTTTTTATTCATTTTATTTTTATTTTTAAATGTTTATATAGTTTTTATTAATATTTTATTATAAAATATTTTAACTCATTTTATTTCTGCTACTAATATTTATAATGCATAAATATAGATTTTATTGAATATTTTATTTTAGTCAATATTCATCCAAGTAACATCAGTGTTTTTAAGGGTTTTAGTTGTAGTTAATGACAGTGGTGTCGGTCTGTAGGCGTCGGTGGGATGTGTGGATCTGGGTCAGGTGTATTTCGAGCCGCTGAAGGACCGGCAGGGGAATGTGCTGCTGGTGACCCTGAGAGAGGTCACGACCCCGCTGACCCCGTCTGACCCCCCGCTGCACTGGCTTCCTGTCAGCAGCCTGGAGAGAAACCAGAGCGAGACGCCGCTGCTGCCTGAACCCTCGGCCGTAGAGCTGCTGACACACAGACTCAAGGTGATCAACACACACACACATCAACACTAATGATGATAAACAGTCGTCTGTCTGCCACACTAAAGAAGAGTCAACAGTGAGGAGCTCTGGTGCAGCGTCGCCCTCTGCTGTCAGACGTCTGTCACTGATCAAGAGTCACACAGATTAACATTAAAGGAACACTCCACTATTTTTGAAAATAGGCTCATTTTCCAACTCCCCTAGAGTTAAACAGTTGAGTTTTACCGGTTTCGAATCCCTTCAGCCGATCTCCGGGTGTAGCGGTAGCACTTTTAGCTGTAGCTTAGCATAGATCATTGAATCTGATTAGACCGTTAGCATCTCGCTCAAATCGCAAGAAAATCGCAACTTTTCATTTTCTGTCGGTCTTAGTACACGATGTAACTGCAGAAGAGTCAAGTTTTAAATAGGAAAAATATAGAAACTCTTTGGTCATTTTTGAGCGAGATGCTAACGGTCTAATCAGATTCAATGATCTATGCTAAGCTACAGCTAAAAGTGCTACCGCCAGACCCGGAGATCGGCTGAATGGTTTCGAAAACGGTAAAACTCAACTGTTTAACTCTAGGGGAGTTGGAAAATGAGCCTATTTTCAAAAATAGTGGAGTGTTCCTTTAAAGAGACTGTTCACCTAAAAATGATCTTTGTGTCATCATTTACTGTACGAGTTTCTTTATTTCTTCTGAGGATCACAAAAAAAGATGTTTTGAAGAGGGTTCGGAACCCAACAACACTGAACCCCATTGACTTTCAAAACAGACTGAGACATTTCTCTAAACATGCTTTTCTACTAAATGACTAAATGATGACAGAATGATCAGTTTAGGGTGATCTGTCTTTTTAAAACAGACATTTCAAGTTTTGGCTTTAGGTTTACATTAGTAACTCAAACTAAAACTATAAAAACATGTTTTTACTTGACTAGAATAATCTTTAACTGAAATAAATAAACTTATTTTAAAAATGTTCTCAAAGTGTTAGCACAAAAACATTATTTATACATTCATGGAACATTTTATTCCTGAAATAGTTTGTTCATCAAATTTTTTTTTTTATATATATAATTCTACTTGTTTCAGAATGTTCCGAAAAAATTCAAAAGTAACGTTCCCATAATGTTTAAAAGTGATTAAATGGAATGTTCCATTAATATTCACATAACCAAGAAAAAAACGTTTTAAAACATGTTAAATTGCACAATCACAGAACATTCAGAAACAGTGTTTTCATGGCATAATTGGAACGTTAGCGCAGTTTCTCAGGGCATATTTTTGTGAGCTGGGCATCAGACGATCGATGCTTTATGAATGTGTTATTCTCGTGTGTGTGTGTGTGTGTGTGTGTGTGTGTGTGTGTGTGTGTGGAGTGTTCCTTTAAAGAGACTGTTCACCTAAAAATTATCTTTGTGTCATCATTTACTGTACGAGTTTCTTTATTTCTTCTGAGGATCACAAAAAAAGATGTTTTGAAGAGGGTTCGGAACCCAACAACACTGAACCCCATTGACTTTCAAAACAGACTGAGACATTTCTCTAAACATGCTTTTCTACTAAATGACTAAATGATGACAGAATGATCAGTTTAGGGTGATCTGTCTTTTTAAAACAGACATTTCAAGTTTTGGCTTTAGGTTTACATTAGTAACTCAAACTAAAACTATAAAAACATGTTTTTACTTGACTAGAATAATCTTTAACTGAAATAAATAAACTTATTTTAAAAATGTTCTCAAAGTGTTAGCACAAAAACATTATTTATACATTCATGGAACATTTTATTCCTGAAATAGTTTGTTCATCTAATTTTTTTTTTTATATATATAATTCTACTTGTTTCAGAATGTTCCGAAAAAATTCAAAAGTAACGTTCCCATAATGTTTAAAAGTGATTAAATGGAATGTTCCATTAATATTCACATAACCAAGAAAAAAACGTTTTAAAACATGTTAAATTGCACAATCACAGAACATTCAGAAACAGTGTTTTCATGGCATAATTGGAACGTTAGCGCAGTTTCTCAGGGCATATTTTTGTGAGCTGGGCATCAGACGATCGATGCTTTATGAATGTGTTATTCTCGTGTGTGTGTGTGTGTGTGTGTGTGTGTGTGTGTGTGTGTTTCCAGAAATGTTTTCTTACATTGGAATGAAAGACACTAAGATGAAGTGCTTCTTATTCTTACCCAAAAATACAAAATGGAACACTTTTATAATTCAATAAATGAAAGTAGGGATGCACCCATACCGATACTGGTATCGGTATCGGATTGAGCGCGCGGCGGCGCAGATGCGCGAGTTTGTTGAGTGTAGATGCATAAACAATGTTTGGTTTTTAACATAAAACCTTGAATACTGATATTTGAAATAATTTAAAACATGAACAAAATAGTAGTAATAGAAAAGTATTTTGTTATTGTGGAGTCTTTTATATCCATGTGGATGTTGAAATCCCCCAAGAGAAGGATTATCTCAAGTTTGAGGCAGAGAAAAGACAATGTATCTTAAAATTCAGATAAAAAGTCTCCTATTTGTCTTAGGAGGCCTGTAGACTGTAGCCACTGCAGTAGAGAGGGGTGCAGAAACACTCAAAACAAGACATTCAAATGAGTCAAATCTGAGAACAGCCACTGGACACATGTTGTACTGTTGATTGTGCAATCATTGTTGATGATTCAGAAGCTTTGAATCATTTGCAGAGAATGAATGTGTAAGTGTTCAGTAATGTGTGTGTGTGCGCAGGCAAGTGAGTACCGTGTCTACACGCAGGAGCTGCTGCAGGTTGGCGATCAGGTGTCTGTGATTCTCCTGCTGCCGCCCTGTGAGGAGTTCAGATCCCGACAGCGTCCAGCAGAGGGAGCTCAGCACACCTTCACCGTCCCGATGCACTACTTTGAGCTCGGTCAGTCACTGATCAGCTGCACACACACACATGCACACTGTTTTTACTTTTAGTTTTAGTTAAGAAGCTACATTTAAGCCACTATATAAAATTTATTTATATTTCAGTTTCTTGCCAAGGCAACATTTTTCATTTAAATTTTCTTTAACTTAGTTTCACTAAAACAACTTTAACTATATACTGTAGATACATTAAAAAAAATAATACCACCCAATAAAATAGTTAAGACTAAAACTAAAATATGAAAATAAAAACAAATTCTATAATTAATATAATATACAAATGACACAAAACAATTACAAAAAATGTTTACTAATATTAAAGCTGAAAATATAAAAATAATTCAAAGTATTAATGAAAACAATGACAGTATATTAATTTTACTTAAAACAGCCTCAACGATACAAACATTACAAACTAATGAAAATACAAAAGCATGAAATAAATAACAACCCATAAAAACATAAAGTGATTAAGAAACTCCCAAACAACCGGCTAAAAAACAAACCTAAATAATAAGTGTTTAGGTAAGATTTAAAAAAAGGTAATTCATATAGTTTTTACTTCCATAAACTTAGGGGTGTAACGGTACACGTATTTGTACTGAAAATTTTCAGTATGGGTCTGACGGTTCGGTACGCATGTGTACCGAACAAATCATTGTTTTAACCACTGCAAAAGTGGAACTTCACTGGAAATTTCCAGTTTTATTGTTACTTTTATTGATACTTTTGATAAGAAGCAAAGTATCAACTTTGAAATTATGTCCTTTTTTTGGGAAATTCAAACAATAAATGCATCTCTTCCTCTTTACTACTAGTTTTAATGCAAAATAAACATGAATGAACATCTCACGCCTCATGTAATCATTTCAATCGTGGAAAGACGTCTTTAAAACAGCTTGTAAACAAAATGTCGCGTAGCATTAACCTCCGGCAAGTCATCAGTGTCTACATCTTGTTATTTACTAGAGAAATGAGCAATAGAGCAATGCATATTAAAGCAATGCAAAAAATTAGGTTTTGATATATTTACAGTAGGAAATTTACAAAATATCTTCATGGAACATGATCTTTATTTAATATCCTAATGATTTTGGCATAAAAGAAAAATCAATAATTTTGACCCATACAATGTATTTTTGGCTATTGCTACAAATATACTCCAACGACTTAATACTGGTTTTGTGCTCCAGGGTCACATATATAATGTGATATAGCTTACAGTTATCTAATTTACAGGTTTTTACTTAAGCATTTTACAGTGTTTTTCCATACAGATGATGTGTCATGTTTGTGTTCGATGATTGATGTGTGTGTGTGTGTGTGTGTTAGTGCACTTGTGGGCGTATGAGCGGGATCTGCTGTCTCAGTACTGTCAGCTGTGGCTCAGACTGGAGCTGGACGTCCGTCTTTCCCAGCAGGCTTTGAGAGAAGCGCTGGACACTGAAGAGCTGCAGGAGGCTACAGAGAGACTCGCACACATCACACAGCTGGCACAGGTGAGTGTTTACCTGCTCTCTCTCACACACACACACACACACACACTCTCATATACTGTGTTCTCTAGAGTCTGTCTGTGCTGTGGAGCGAGAGCCGCTGGCTGATGGACGTCATTCAGACGCTGCGCTCCAAACACTCGGAGGGGGCGGTGCCTCTGGGGCGAGTCGTGACCTCACAACCGCCAATCAGATCAGCCGTTGAGGACACGCCCCCTGGTTTACATACGGTAGAACAGATGCAAACAGGTGAGAGAGATGAATATTAGTTGTTTTGCTCCATTAATAATTAAACAGTTTGTTTTTATATTTTTAGGATTGAATTTATTATTTACATTTTTACCATTTGATTAATTTTTAACAAGTTGTTTATTTTGACTTTTAACGACTTATTTTTAATGTAACAATTTCTTGATTTAGTCCCTTTTTAGTAAAGAGTTTTTTTATTGTTTTTATTTCAAAATTATTCATTTTAATGTAGTTTTTTAATGGTTTATTCATTTTTAGTAAGTGTTTTATTTTGTTTTTATTTTACTTACATTTCTTAATTTTTTTATTTTTAATAATTGTTTTTATATTACAATAATTTATTTACTTAATTTTACATTTTTATGATGTCATTAATTTTAGTAAATTCTTTTTGTTTTTATTAATAAATGTTATTTTACGTTGAAAGTTTTATTTTGATTTCTTTTTACTAAGTGTTTTATTTTCTTCTTTTATTATTATAGCATAGGTGCTTTTCATTGTTTTACTGTTTTAAAGAATTCTTTATTTTAATTGGACATTTTTAGGATTTTATTAAAAATCATTTACTTTCATTATTCATAAGTTATCGCTATTTTATCAAATCATTTTTTAAACCCTACTATGCACGATGTGTCTTACAAGTTCACATTTATTGCATCAATAGCACCACTTGTCTATATTATCTGCAAATAAAGCCCAAAAGCTTCTTTCTACAGCAAAGACACCAAATGCGTTTAAAAATTTAAATCACAGAAAACGATGACCAGAAAATAATCATCATAATAAAGGTTAAAGGTTAAAAATGAACGTTTCACACTGATCTGATGTGACCAAACATCAGAAACCAGATGTGATTTTATTAAATAATGAAGAATCCCAGCTTACCTGTTCTTTCTGCAGCAGAGGTCATGGGGTCAGAGGTCAGCACACCTGTGGAGGTCACAGACGGGGTCATGTGTCCGAAGACACCCACCTCACACTACACCGATGAGTCCCGTTCCCACGGAAACAGCACCCGTAGCCATGGAAACAGCCTCCGGCAGATGCACTCATGTCCTGAACTCAGTGATCCGGCCGCCTCACATCCCATAATGCCTGCGGACGAAGGTCAGGAGCTGCTGACGGAGATGATGGACCTGTTCCAGAGCCTGGATCTGCTGGGAGGCAGTCTGACAGACCTGCAGGAGCTGGACTGGAGCGATCCAGAACCGGATCTGCAGGACCAGGATGACAGGACGGGAGCGACGGACGGTGCCATGACCCACAGGGGACATCCGGTCAGGAGTCTGGTGGAGTGGGTCAAATCAACGATTTAATCAAACCCAGTCTGGACTAGTGATGGCCGCTTTTGAATCACTGCTTAATGAGGCTTCAAAACCGTTGCGAATCATTTGTTTCGAAACAGTGGTTCGGAGCACGTATCAAACTGCCAAAGTCACGTGATTTCAGTAAACGAGGCTTCGTTACGTCTTAACTGTTTAGAAACGTTTCGAAAAATTTAAATGTTTTGCCGTTGGGGGGGGAGGGGGGACTCTGTAAACCCGTGAATCAAGCGAGTTCATTAAGATCGCCCCCCAGTGGTGAACCATTGAACCAGCGTCTCTGATCTCAGATCAGTTTTATCAATTAGTAGACATTTTTAATGAGACATTTGTGTAATTAAAAGGATGAGTAGTGGTTAATAGTCTCTTACTGGCCTGTTTAGTCAAGCTCTCCATTAAACAAACAAAACAAGCCCTGCAAGTTAATAATAAATATTTTAAAAACGCAAATTATACAGACACGTCATATTTTATGGTATTTTATTATTTTGATTGCATTTAATATATAATAGTTTAAAGAAAGCATGATTTGGCATGTGTTTTTATTGCCTTTACACAGTTTTGGCCAGCAGGTGTCACCAGCGTATGGTGTTTCGAGCGTTTCGAAACAAGCGAATCATTTTGCGAAGCAACCGGTTCAATTGATTCGAAGCTTTAATAAGGTTTGTTTCTCCCATCACCATGTCATCTCAAAAATAACAGAAAATTATTATAATATATTATTCAATATATTCAATAATGACGTTATAAATTAAATACATATAGTACATTTTAAACATATTTATAATATATTGTATCTTTTGTTAGTAAACGTTTTATTGAAATTATTTATTTACCTGGTTTTTATGTTTTTATGATTTCATTAATTTTTAGTGGTTTGTTTTGTTTTTATGATTTTATTCACTTTGAATAAGCCTTTCATTTTAATTGTTTATATTTTCAAATTATATTTAAAATGTTAACATTTTAATTATATTTAAAAAAAAATGTATTTTAATTTGACGTGTTTAGGATTTTTTTTTATTTCAAAATTATTTATTTACTTGAATTTTACATTTGTATGGTTTTATTCATTTTAAAGATTTTTGATTTTTTAATTTCAAAATGTACGTTAATTTTACATTTAAAATATTTAAGAAATTATTATTATTATTAACTAAATTAAGTATCTTTATACATATTTTTAAATATGTTGGCCATCAAACATTTGATGTTGGTCTATTGTTATGCTGGTTATATATATATATATTCCCTTTTTTAAATATATAAAATAAACCAAATCATCTCTGCAACAGAATCATTTATCTGTGGAAAAAAAAAATATATATATTTATTTGTGCAGAAATTATAATTTTTTTACAGGTTCATAGAAACCCTGCAGCATCATTCGACTGTAGGCTATTTACTGTACAAATCAATTGTAAAGATAAAGATTTAAGTCTATTTGTATCTTATGTTTTGTTAAATGAATAAATATACATGTTTTAAGTGTTTTCTCTGTGATTAATAGTAAACATTATTATTATGTTTACCAGAAATTAGTTTTATATAATAATTTAGCAGAACACATTAGAAACCAAATGCACTTAAATGATTACAGTATATTCTAAAGTATATATACATTTATATTTAACTACATATAGGGTACCTATTTACATACAGAGATATTATAAGCGTAATATCGATGATCGACGCGTGGTTTGAGGTGTTTTTGTGGTGTTTGAAGTATTTCTGGGTAATGTTCGATGTGTTTCAGGGTGTTTGTGGTGAGCTCCGTGTGTTTGTCTCTTTAAGTCTCAGTCGTGTGTGGGAATATGGCTGAGGAAAGCGAGTCTTCAGCTGCTGGTGAGTGAAAATAAAAGCACAATACATGTACAGAGTCGCGGTCAAATGATCCGAATTGACGGAGTTTATCAGCTCATGTTACAATCATTACTGCAGGACAGTTAAAGGGACACGGACTTATTTGAATGAAATTCATTTTCATATCACACAGTATTGTTTTATCCTATAAAGAATGACCATAAATGTCTTATTGAGAACTATATGCGCCTGCTTTTATTTTGTCACTTTGTGTGAAAATTTTCATTCGGATTCTTATGATAGAAACTTCTAGAAATTATAGGGATCTAATAAAAACATTTTTGTATTGCATTCCTGTTTATTAATTTATTTTATAGCATTGGACCACATTTTGTGAAGTTTTAAGTCATTTTGTCTATTTTAATTGTATTATTATTTCACTTTTTTCATTCATATTCTGCAGGTCTCCAGATAAAAAACTAAAGCTGATTTGCATGCATAAAGAGTATCAGTTTGCCATAATAAAATAAAACCTATCCTATATGCTTAAAAAAAATCTAATTCTAATAGATTTGTAATGAGTTTGTCTAAAAACCCTTATTGCATTCTTATTTCTGTATTTACGTTTTATTTAATTGCATTTTATGTTATTTTTATTTCTTTGTATTTATTTTATTAGTATTTTACTCTGAATGGCTATACATTTCTTAGTCGTTTTTATTGCAGGGCCACAATCCTAGAATATCATTTAACTGCAACAGATCAATTATATTGCATTCCTGTTTAAGTCTTATTTGTTTGTTTGTTTATTGTTCCATTTTCATTTTGTATTTTTATTTATACGTGTTTATTTATTTTATTAGTATATTACTTTGAATTAGTGCTGTCAACGGATTATTTTGGATTAATCGCATCCAAAATAAAAAATGTTTTGTTTATACATAATATTTGTATACCATGTATTTATTATAAATACACACATGCATTTATATATTTAAGAAAAAATATATATTTATATATAATATAAATTATATGAATACAAATATAATTGTATGTGTATATATTTTCAAAATATATACTGTATGTGTATTTATATATACATAATAAATATACAGAGCACACACACACATATTATGTAAACAAAAACTTTTATTTTGGATGCGATTAATCGTGATTAATCATTTGACAGCACTACTTTGAATTAATATAAATTTCATAATAGTACATTTTTAATGCATTTTTATTACTATTAATTACTTTATACATGTAAATCAGGTTTAGTTCTATTGAGTCCTGTATAATGTTCATGAAAACACTCTTGAATAAAAACTTTTCTATTTGTAAACTGTTTGCTGGGCAACAATTAATTGCGATTAGTCACATCCAAAATAAAAGTTTTTATATTTTTTATATTTATTATGTGTGTATACATGTATATATATATGTGTGTGTGTGTGTATGTAAAGACAAACACATACAGTATATATTTTGAAAATATTTACATGTATTTACATGTATATATTTAAATTCATATAATTTATATTATATATAAATATATATAATTATATATATTACATATAAATATATTTAATGTTAACAACATATTTTTTCTTAAATATATACATGCATGTGTGTGTATTTATATATACATAATAAATATACACACTGCACACTCATATATTATGTACACAAAAACTTTAATTCTGGATGTGATTAATCGCGATTAATCGTTGCCCATCACTATAGTAATAATATAATCAGGTGTCTGTTGTCTCAGGCGGTTCGGCTGAGGTCCGAATGGCTCTGTTGGGTCAGACGGGTTCAGGCCGGAGTTCATCTGGAAACACGATTCTGGGTCGATCCTCGTTTTGGACGGATGTATCGCCCCTATAGGTCACCAGCCGCTGCCAGCGTTCAGGGGGCGTGGTGGATGGGCGGAGCCTGTGGCTGATTGACACCCAGGGGTTCTTCCACACCTGTCTGAGCCCGGATGAGGTGCGCGCGGAGCTGAGCCGGTGCGTAGAGCTGAGCGCACCCGGACCGCACGTGTTCCTGCTGGTGCTGCGCGCCACTCTGGACTGGGTCAGCGACGCGTTCACGTGCGGCGATGCACTCGGAGCGAAACCCGCGGACGTCTTCCTGAAGGAGAGCAAGGAATTATGGGAGTTTGTGCGCGGATGGCTATCACGTGTTTGACAGCACTACATAACCAACTGATAATGGAAGCTTGTTTTCACAATGGGATAAAATAAATAAAATAAAATAAGGTAATTGCAACATTTTATCTCGCAATTCTGACTCTTTTTTTTTGTACCGCCATTTTCAATAAAACAGAATTGCGAGTAGGTGCCGATGGCCTCGTGGGCAATGCGCCGACATGTAGTGCCATTGAGCTCTGGCCTGGGCATCCTGAGGTCGAATCCTGGCTCGCAGACCTTTCCCGATCCCATCCCCCTCTCTCTCACCCACTTCGCTTCCTGTCGACCTATACTGTTCTTCAGTGGCCAAAAACGGGGTATACCGGGGTATACAGTGCATAGGGGCGCCACACACAGGGGGGCGCCATTTTGCCAAAATCATTCTGTGAAAATCTTCTTTAATAAAACGTCATAAATAATCAAAAGCTTAGTTATTAAACATAATTAATGCAACATTTTTATTTGACGGTTTTTAGCATTTTAATGAGTTCAACAATGTATTTCTTAAAAACTTATTAAGACGCGGAATGGCCGTATCTCTTTGCGACCACAACGAGTCAAACAAACGCAGAAAAGGTACATGTGCCAAATGATGTTCAGTAGAACAACAGGGAACTGCGGTCTGATGAGATATTTTTATATGTCAGTAAAAAACGTTCCTGTCCTGGCAGCCGTTTTACTTCTGCTCACGGCGCACGCTCTTCAACTGTACGCGAATATGAGGCGCACGCTCACTTCATAAATAAACCGCACTAGAAACTGTGAGCATACATCGTCAGTTAAGTCACGAAATTACCAAAATGGCGATTAAAGCTGCAAAACTGCATGCATGTATGTGAATTACATTTAAGAACGTCTCTCAAATGCATGCTGCCTACTGAAATATTCAGCTATTCGAGATCACAATAGGGCACAAGATGATTTTTAAAAAATTTATAATTTAAAGGTGCAGTGTATAAATTTTAGCGACATCTAGCGGTGAGGTTGCGAATTGCAACCAACGGCTCAGTCCCACGCTCACCCCTCCCTTTAGAGAAGCTACGGTGGCCCATACAGAAGTAAGATGTCATAGTCTGAGACAGCAAAGATAGTCAGC